ATGGAGAGAGAGATTTATAATGCAATGCAGTCTAAGGTTTATGTAGGTGAAAATCTCTTGACAAAGACAAACACAAATAATGGTAACCAGCCTTAGACCATGTGAATGGGCAAGTGGGGACACAAGGGAGCAGAGGTAGAGATTTGGTAAACTTATGTTAAGTGCTCTCAACTCTAATGGAAATCTCCTTCAACTAGTAAAAGCCATCCTTTGGAGGAGGCTAACTTGACATATCCTGGTTTGTCCCATGAGTTGAGATACATCAGACAGCAAAATGATAAATGTTGAAGTCAAGGGGATAAAGTGCTAATGGGCTAGTTATGAAAGAAGACCTCAGTTAATAGTCTCTTTCTCTACAATTGCAGGCACTTTGTGTGTGTATATATATAGCAATAGATATTAAATTGACCATCTACCTGAAATATATGTAAAATGACACTAATAAAGTAGTTCCTATTACTAAAATTGATTGGATTTCATTATGTTTTAATGTCTTCCTAATTTAAAGCTCTAAAACATGTAATACATCTTGTCAGGTACTCCTGACATATATGCCTTTCCACACATGGAACAATGTTATACATCCATCAACTTACAGCAAATCATCATTTGGCATTTTATAAACCTCCAAGCAGAACACCCACTGCACTTCTGTAATTTGAAGAGGTTTATAATAGTTTTAACTAATTCTGTACCATTTTTTTTTTGTCTTTTTGAAGCAGGGTCTTCCTGTAGCCCCAGCTGTCCTGGAACTCACTATGTAGACCAGGCTGGCCTTGAACTCACAGAGATCTGCCTGCCTCTGCCTCCCAAGTGCTGGGACTACAGGCATGCACCACCACACCTGGCTTCTGTACCATTTTATAGATCATGCAAGATTGCAACCAGGCAATTCTCTGGTGTCTGTGCCCCTGGAGGAGAAGAACTATGGATCTTCTACAATAGATTTTTTAAGTTATTATCATTTGAAGCCAAAGAACTGGGATCCAACTTGAGATGCATCTTGGTTTTAACATCTTCATAACTACATTTTGCATAGGCTGGTATTAAATAAATGTGTGGCCCCAGGGTTGCCAAGTGTAGGGCTAAGGGCACTTGGAATTAAGTCTGGGAAATTAAATTACAGGTAATTAAGAGTTGACCATCTACAATACACTTTTAAGTCCATCATGAGTAGCATTCTCTATGAATTTTATACAAGAGGCTGCTGCTTCTTCAATGGATTTTGACCAGCCACCAATATTTCCGGCAAAGTAAGGAAGGATGCTAGCTGACATCTGATTCAGGTACGATACCTGTATCAAAAAGAAAACACTGTCATTTTTTTTTTATTGGCTAGGAGATTTTTCAAGCAAGGATCTGAAATCGTTGGTGAATGGATCTGAAAGGGCGAGCCTTAGGGATCTGTCTGTTAGTGAGGACACAAATGGCAAGATTACAATTATTTAGGAGATGTGGGGAAAGGAAGAGGTTTTCCATATCTGAGAATGAGTTAAGGTACAAATATTTCATCAAACGTACAGTGCATGAACTGCTGTCAATAGCCTGGATGAGAAACCCAGCGCATATAACCTCGCTTCTGATGTACTGTGGAGATGGCGGGACTGATGGCAGGGTGACTGACTTCATCGCCACTGTGTAGGTGTTACTGAAAGATGAGACAACACGTTCTAACTCCTTGTGAGAAGGGAAGACTAGTTGTTAGAAAGTAAATTCTTAAAGTTAATGACATTTTTATTTAGTAAATTCCTATAGTAAATGACATTTTTATAGTAAATTCCTATAGTAAATGACATATTTATGTTTCTTTGTGGTGCAAGGGGTCCAAATCAGGGCCTCCACATGCTAGGCAAGTGCTTCACCACTGAGTTACATCTCCAGCCCACAGGGCAATTTAATCATTCAGGCCAACGTGAGCTCTGAAGACCAGGCTTCTCTGTATGAGGGGTTTGTATCAAAAGATGTTTCCTAAGGTGACATTCAAACGTAGGGAATAAGGTAATTTCACAAAGCTGGTGTCGGCTTCCAAACTGAAGTTTTACTCTGCCCTCTAAAGGGTTGCCATTTCAGTTTCCTGTTCCTTTTTTAATTAAAAAAAATCCAAATATTTGCGAATGCTATAGGCTAGGAAATAAAAGTGGAACTTTGGGACCCTAGCTCCAATACTATTCCTCACTTGACTGTTCTTAGCATTTAATATGCAGCTCTCTAGACTTTGATATAAATGGATAAAAATAACATTAGCAAACATAACATGTAGATTTTTACACAAAGATGGTCAAATACAGTCTATAACTTGATTGTTCACCTAACAATCTCTAACATTTTTAGAGATGTTTTTATATTTGTACCCTATGTCTACTTCACCTTAATGGAAGTGGCATACTTCTCTGTAGTGTGGATTTGGCATAATTTATAAGATAGACCCCAGCTTATTTCATATCCTTTGACATAAAAAATGATACTATAGTGAACACCTCTGAGCACTGGTCCACATGCATATGTGGGGCTATTTGGGACACTGCTCCTTTGTCTCCATGTTCTGAGGAGTCCAGTGGACACGAGAAAGTCATGGCCCTTGGGTCCACAGCCTTAGCTGACAGTAAGCCAGATTAGATGACTAGAACCGGTAGGTCTCTGTGACTTCTAAGCCAATTCTGGTGTTTCAAATGCTTTTTGCTGACTTTTTACTTAAAATGGAATGTTTGAAAGGTTTACTAAATATTATCTTTAGTCTATATAGAACAGGAGGATACTGCTTTAGAATCCTTGCATGATGCACACAACTGACAATACATGGCTGCATTTTAAAATGTTAACTAAACATTTATTTATTTATAAAATAGAATGAATATGATTCAGGACTCAAAGTGCTTACATTGGCTTCCTTATTTTCAGATCAACTTTTCATTCACATGCTATACAACATTGTATTGTCGCTTAGATTGCATATACTCACTCATCTTTGAGAGGCTTTCTTCCTGATACAAGTACTACGAAGTCTTTGGGTCTGTCACCATTTACTATAGAACAGGTGATGTAATATATCTGATCTTCCTCACTCACCTGGTCTATGACTTCACAGGATCTGTGTAAACAGAACAGTGTTAAAGGACAGGCTTTCAACCTGTTAGAAGGCTTTCACATCCCTTATTTGTTTGTATGATCTTCTTGGTATTTGTATGTACCTGTTCAACTGACCCAACACTCTCTACCCCCTCAAGCAGGTACTGCTTGAAGGCTGACTTTGGGATGAGCTGTTTGCTCAGAAAGAGTAATTTTGCCTGTAATAGAGAAGGGTTCACCATCAACTCCAAGGTCACTGCCCTTAATACTCCAGAGAAGGCATTAAGGCTTCCACAAAATTATTGTTTTCTAGGATCAAATAAAGAATTTTGAAGCTTAGTGGGATGCAAGGCCAATCCAAGTACTCAGGGAAAGAAAGATCTGTATCAGAAGGAATATTGAGTCTGAAGTTGAACTATTTGCTTGTGACTCACAGACTGCTGCGTTCTGACCATGTTATGTTAGACAAGTCATTTTATTATTTCATCTGTGAATGTAGACAATAATATCTAGGTGGTTATTGTGAGCATTAAATGAAAACACTGGATGTAGTCCCCAACTCTTAAGTAGCTATGCAAGAAAAGCTGTTGAACTAAAATTAATTCATTGGCTTGTCCATTCATTCAAGTTCAGCTTTATGGAGAGCCAAGTCATCCAGAGACTTATGGGGAAAATGTTTTGAAAGAACTAATGCTTCATTTATGTATTGTTCTGTTTTGTAGAGTATCTGCAAATATTGATGCAAGAAATTTAAAAATACTTCCTCCTCTCTTAGAATGATTTATTATGGTAGCATTAAGCATCTAAGCAAATGTAACACCTGACAGTAGAGATGTTTCACTTAAGTGGTATTGCATTGTCTATTACATGGTTTAATCACAGGGAGTTTTAGAATGTTAAAGATGAACCTCTAGCTTGTCAAGGTTTGGAAATACATAGTTGTGTACCACAGGAGTAGAAGTTCTTTCCTTTCAATGGTGTCTTGGGGGCTCTGCTGTGCGCTATACAGTCTGGAGGGCTGGACCTGACTCTCATTGAACACTACCAGGGCAGCTGACATAGCACACAGCTCTGTACAGTGTCTGTGGGGACACCAAAACATTCGATGCTCAAGTCTGTTATATAAGATGACATAGTATTTTCATATCACCTATGCACATCCTCCCAAACATGCTAAATCTTCTCTAGACCACCTATGCAATGCAAATGGTATGTAGATAATTGTACTATTTAACAAATGAAGTAAAAAAAATCAGTAGATGTTTGGTGTTGACATAATTTTTTCTCCAACGTTCTTTGATGAAAAACGAAAAGTGGTTGAATAGGCAGACGTAGGGCCTGTGAATATGTATGACCAACTGTGTTCCATGAAAGTGGGGCACTTGGAAGAGATGGATCTAGAAATGAGGAAACAGGAAGTGATATGAGAGAAGTGGGTGGGTGAATGGGTGGAAGACGGACATGATCAGATCATTGGGGAAGAGCAGGAAGGAGCACCTTCCTCCTGGACTCCGGGCTGACTCTGGCAGCTTCTCATCAAGGAGTATTTCACAGAAGAGGAGTGAAAAGGCATTGGATACTCATGTTCTCAAAATCAATGAAACTGTATGTTAACTAAACAGGGCATGGACTCCAGAGCCTGGCCCAGCTGGATTCCAATGCACTGCCTGATACTTTGCTGACTGTGCAATCTCGTCAGTCTCAGAAACAAGAATAATATCAACTTTGAAGTTATTGTTGGTATCATAGTAAATGTAGGCAAAGCATGCCAACTTAATACAGATGACAAATAGTATAATAATTGTCCTTTTGCATCTCTCAGTATCACCTGATGCGTTTTTCTGGGGTAGAGCAAACTCTAAAAATACTTTGAATTACTAGAACAATTCCTCATACATTGAGCAGAGGAAATGAACTACAGTTCAAGTTTATTTTTCCATGATTTGATAACAAAAAAAATTAAATTGGTTCTTACATGTAATGAGGGTCCCACAAAGGTCGCTTTGTAAAGTCTGACAGGAGATGATAAGCCACGTGTGCTGGACTATTCACAGGCTTTTCAACCTTAACAGATATGACATCTTGCTCTTCCAGAGTATATATTTTTATCTAAAATACATGAAGAAGAAAATTTAAATTACAAAAAATCGATGTTTTATTTTAAAAGGCACACAAATTAAATCATAGACTGTACCATGTAGAGAATCTAGTCACCTAGATGAAGATGTAGCCAGCCATTGGCAATGCTACCTGTGTATCTAGAAGTCTGACCTGGATGCTTGTTCTGTGTCCTCGAAACAATATGTGGGTTAATTAATGTGCATCTTATTTTTTCAAAAAAAATAAATAAATAAAGACCATGGAGCTGGAGAGATGGTTCAGTGGTTAAGAACACTGGCTGTTCTTGTAGAAGATCCAGGTTCGAATCCCAGCACCCACATGGTCGGGCTAACAATTGTCCATAACTCCAGTTCTAGGGAATCTGATGCCCTCTTCTGTCCTCCATGGGCACTGCACAACATAGGTGCACTTACACACATGTAGGTATAACACTCATACACATAAAATAAAAATAAATAAATCAGAAAAAAATTAAAGAAAAATAAAGATCATAAGCCTTTCTCTCTTGATCTTTGTGGTGTTTCTCTGCCTTTGACCACTAAAAGTAGAGAATGTGTTTAGGCTGCTAGGCAGAGCCTCCTCTTCCCTAAGACTTTGAAGACGGGTATAGATCAGATAGTTTTCCCAGTATTTTAGACATGTCTTTAAGGGGACCCAGGAAACAAGCCAACCATCTTCAGGGCCAACTCAACTTCTCAACAGGATACCTGAAGCACATTTCTTCAGTACAGAGCATTCTCTGATTTCTGAATCACAAGGGCTGATCCTTTTGTAAGGCCAGTTCCTGGGTTTCTAATACATATTATCTGTTAGGTAAGCAGAAGCCTATCTTGGGGAGTCATTTGACATATGCTTAAACATCAATGGCATCTCTGTGACTCTGAACTTTCCTCCTACTTTTTTTTTTGACAATAATCAGAGATGTGCGTTCAGCTAAGAGCACATTTCTATTCTGCTATTTTCTCCTTCTCTCAGGGTACTTTGAAGTGTTGAAATTTACTATCTTATAATCATTCCCATGGCAACAAGCTGTGAGAAGACAAACAAACATGAGGTTAGGGCTTCACTGCAGGAACCAAGCAGTTGAAAAAAATCAGGTTGTAAAGGAGAAACCTTTATTTAAACACACACATTATATATACATATCTAATATGTGTGTATATGCATATATATGATATCATTATAGATAAGAGAAATTAACAAATTAATTGTAAGTAGCTTAGGGAGAAAACAAGTGATTATTTGCTTATGGAAAACACCACTCCTCCAAGCCAAATGTGCTTCATAGAAGGCATGGCTTAGTCTGTGAGCATTCATCAAATACAAAGAAACCCAGAGGTTTGGCTCCCTTTGTTTCTGAGATTCAGCAATACATTTACAAACCAAGGGACAGAAAGGCTAGCCATCAAAGTTCTAGAAGCCAGGGAAGAGGTGAGGAACTGATTTTCCTTCCTCACAAAGCAACCAGCCTGCCTACACCTTGATTTCAGACTACTAGCTTCAGAATAGATAATTAATTTCCTATTGTTTAAGTGACCATAGGAAATTAGCCTAGTACTTTTCCAGGGAGCAGCTCCTCAGCTTTCAGACTGAAAAGCTCCTCTGCTTCCAGACTGTCGCTTCCTAGCCTGAAGCCAAAGCCAAGTAACCTCCTTTAAACTCCACCCTCACAGGCAGAGCTCACTACTTATCCAGCGCCAAGGACCACAGTGGATAAGCGAATGAGATCTATCCCTTCCCTTAGAAGGTGGAGAGGTACAGGTTCTTTTCATCATCCTGCTCCTTGAACCAAGGAGCCGAGGATGCAAAGGAGATGAGGAAAGGCTAGCTTTGGCTTAATGGAAAAATTCTCCAAGAACAGTTCTCTAAGAAAATGGTTTTCCATTGCCTGGGGGAATAGAGGTTAAATTCTATTTGTAACTAGCTCTGATGTTCTGTAATGTGGTGATTGGACAATTTATTCTGAGATGAAGCTTAAAGTAAGTAGGCTAAAAATTTACTAAAGTAAGCCTGCTCATATTCCATTATGACAGATGCTGCTTTCATTAGCACAAGACTGCTTGGATTTGTGGTTGGATGTCACACTGTTATAATGATGAGGAGATAACTAAACAGCTTAGAAATTTTGTATCACTCACTACAAATATGTTATTAAGATTACATTATTGGCAGAAGGAAGAAAATAGTTTTTGTTTGTTATTTGTTTTGAGACAGGGTCTCCCTGTATCCCCGGCTTGTTTAGAACTCGCTATGTGAGCAGGCTGGCCTGGATCTCACAAAGATCTGCCTGCCTCTGCCCCCTGAGTGCTGGGATTAAAGGTGTAGTTACGACTCCTGGTTAGAAACTAGTTTTCAGCCTAAAAGCTGAATTTCCTTGGAGGCGCCTGTGGGGTACCACAGGTGCTAAGATTGGCCAGATGGTGCCCTGATGGGCCCAATCTCTCTCCCTCCTCAGTTTAAGTAAAAATAAATTTTGTCTGATCTCTTTTCTACACTGAGTTGCTGTCCTGTAGAGGTTTTTTAGGCAGCCTATGTCATTTTTGCTTTCACAGTAATTCTCAGATTTCAGATACTCTTTAAAAACAAACAAACAAACAAAAAAAAAACAACTAATCCTGTCAAACCAGTCTCCTTACCATAATTTTCACCTGGAGGACTCAGCTCAAGCTGTTTACTGCCTTGAAAGCCCTTTTCATCTTCACTTTTGACACTACTTTCCAAGAGATAAGAATCACCCCTTCCTGGACTTTGTTTTCCTTTCTTTGACTAGCAGAAGACCTGGCTTCAATGAGTTAAACACTACAATCTCTCACTTGTTCATGACTATCCTGTAATTAATTATTCTTCAGCAGGTTCACGTATTGCTGTTTGCAAATGCATTTCTGAATTTTCCTCTTGCTTCTTGCATTATTACTACAGTTCCATCCTTGTATCTAGAAAATCAAATATGACTTAAAGCTTGAAGTATTTTCTAATTTCATATCCAGACTTCATATCCAATAATGTTGAAAATAAGAACTAAGAGCTGGCTATGGTATACACTTGTGATCTAAGTTCTGAGAAGCAGAGACAGGAAGATCTCCGGTCCAAAGTTAAGGAAAGGGACAGGGAGAGGGAGGGGAAATATAGAATTTTAAAAAGTGGGAGAGAAGAGGAGGATAATTCATAAGGAAAAAGATTTTATCAGATTTTTGTCATGAATATAATCTTTAAAATTTATAAATTTATTTTTATTTTATGTGTATGAGTGTTCTGCCTGCATGCATATAAGTGCAACCATTTCATTCAATACTCATGGAGGTTAGACGAGGGTTCTGGATCTCTTGGAAATGGAGTTACTGGTGGTTGTGAGCCACCTGTGGGTGCTGAGAACTGACCCAAGTCCTTTGCAAGAACCACTGGTTCTCTTGTGGAACCCTCCTCCTTGGCCCCCTCCCCCGGACTCCCTAGACCCCTGCCCCTATTTAGGACTAACTGCTCTTTTCGCTTCTGTAAATCACTTGGGTTGAGGGAACCAGTGGGACAAACTGCACCATCTCCATTTTGACTGCTGATTCCTCCATTTTCGTGATGTATCATGGTCATAGACTAGGCAAACCCAGGCATGTCCAGGGGGCCCAGGAAGGTTTGAGGCCTTATAAGGAATAAACAGGATCCTCTAGCCCTGAAGATAACAGTCAGCACATTCCACAGCCCTGAGGGCAGCACCCACCAATGAGAGGCCTCCAAGACTGTAACCAATCAATTCAAAAGTATGTTCGAACGTACGGGTCAGCACAGATCCATTGCATTGGTGAGGTCTGAGAGCCCGAGCTTAAGCCCGAATAAAGATTCTTTGTTCTTGCATGCCCTCTGGATTCTGTGGTAATTCTTGGGGGTCCAATCTCTGGGCACAACATTTGGGGGCTCGTCCAGGATCCCCAAGACCCCCACGGGACCCCAGAGCACTGAGTCTACCTGATCCAATTGGTGAGTGTCTCTTGTCTTTGTGTCTTTCATTCCTGTATACTTCTGGTTTGGTTTTTGGGCCCAGTTTCAAGATTGCTTGTTGGAGGTCTAGGCAGATGTGCTGGAAGGCCCCAGGCCGTGGGACTCAGGAGACGTCCTGGACCCACCTGATAGGGATTGGATTCCCTTGGTAGACTTGGAAGGATGGAGCAGGTCACACCCGCCAGGAAGCAAGAGGCCATTGTCCTATTTTCAGTTTAAGGCGCCAATTAACCGTGTGTTATTTTTCTGTGTGTTTGTGCTTTTTGTTGTGTTTGTGACTCTTACTGTGTTGGAAGAAATGGGACAGAACCAAGTAACTCCTCTAAGCCTTTTTCAGGATCACTTCCTGGAATTCAAAGCCCAGGCTGATAGCCTGGGGTTAGGAGTAAAGAAAGGGAAGCTCTTTGTGTTTTACAGGAATGAATGGCCAACTTTTGGAGCCGGCTGGCCTGAAGAGGGAATGTTTGACCTACCTACCATCTATAGAGTAAAGGATATAATTTATGGCTGTCCAGGCCACCCTGATAAGGTCCCTTACACCACGACTTGGCAGGTTATGGTGGAGGGGACTCCAAAATGGCTAAAGGCGTTCCTTCATTCTTCCCCCACTGGCTCAAAGCTGACTGTCCTCGCCCTATGTGAGGATGAGAGGCAGAGAAATGAAACTAAACCCACCGCCCCCCTCTACCCTGTCTTGCAAGGAGGCACAGGGGAAGAACTCCTGCTTGAGCCACCCCTCTATTGGCCTGTCCCACAAGCAGAACCTCAGGACATTCCGGGGGAGGCGGAGGCAGCCCCACCCCAGGAGGCAGAAGGACACCCTCCTCAGACATGGAGGAGAGTCCAAAGGGGGCAACCACGGCTGGTGGCAGACTCTACTGTCCTCCCTCTCCGGGCCGTGGGGCCCCCTCACTGAAGCAGGAGACCAGCAGATGCAGTATTGGGTAGCAACCTTTACAATTGGAAGTTACAGACAGCTAAATTTTCTGAAAAGCCTC